GCCACAGGGTTGGAATGTGATGTCCCTGAAAGGGTATAAAGCTGGCCTAAGCCGTCTCCAATGTGCTTTGCTACACCACTACCCCAACCCTCATTCTAACCTCCCTACAGGGCAAAAGGTAGCCCTAGATCTACTGGTACATTTATATGGGATTTACAGTAAATCGATGAGGAAATCGGACTCCCAGTCACCTAAAAAGCCAGCAACAAGATGACTGCCCACCCAGCTCTGTGCCAAATTATACTGCTGAAATGAAGAAAGCTTGAGGTATCCAGACGTGTGGAATGATGGTGGAAGTCTGTTACTCCAAATGACATTCTGGCCTTTAATTCTAGGTGTTAGGTGCTTTGCAAGAGGTTCTGGTGGGTGGCTCTCAGGGCTCTATCAGAAAAACAGAATAGTTTCTGCATGCCAAATTTTTTACCCTACTATATATTTTCACCTCCGATCATTGTCTTCCTTGTTGAAACAGTACATCGCAAGCCGAGAATGTGCTAGTTAGCTCATGGCAGAGCCATGAGTATCAAACAAGTAACTCGTTTTTTGAGGGGAGAGAGATTTCATGATCCCCAACCCCCACCAAGAAAACTAGCCCAGTCTGTTTGTTTATTTATTTATTTATTTGAAACACTTATATGCTGCCCCATTTGCAAAAGCCTCGGGGCGGCTCCAATACAAATAAATAACTATACAATTACATTAAAAATCTGGAGACATCCGGCATAGATATAAAATCAATAAATAAATTTAACAATTAAAATAACGTTCAAATAAAAAGGTCTTGGCCTGGCGCCAAAAAACAAATAACGACGGCACCAGGCGGACCTGTCTGGGGAGCGCGTTCCATAGGTGGGGCGCCACCGCAAAGCAGTCTATCACTGCTCAGCTCCTTCTCCAGGTCTTACAGCGGCTGAGCCTTGCGCTACCAGCATCATTGTCCTTTCCCCTCCACTCTGTCCATCAAAGCTCCTCATATAGATTTATAGGGGTTGGGGTGCTTGTGCAGACATGTGTATGTGTGTGCACACACTTACGCATATATGCAGCCTCCATCCTTCAGTTCAGTATCACATGCAGTCTGGCATTAAAATGGTTTGGTACTGCTGTTCTACAGGAAAGGGGAAAGCTATTCCGAATTCTCTGCCTCCTACCCACATAGGGCAAGCATGGACTTTATTTTGCATCCTGCTAATGTGTTTATTATGTTTGTAAGCCCAAAGTGTGGGAAACCTGACATTCTGTGTTAAATTTGTCTTTGTTTTGACCTCTTTTCAATGCAAATAACCTCTTGGAGAAACCAGCAATTTCTTCTACCCTTCCTGCTTTACGTGGCTTGCATTTTATCAGGTATGTTTGGCCTTGGTGTCATCAAGGACATGCCAGATTGCTTCACTATTTTCGTCCTTAACTTTAAAAATATAATAAAAGGCTCTAGGAGGAAGACAAAAACACACTTTTGAGATACGTAAGCCACTGATCTCTGGATAAAAACAGTCCATGGTTTTAACTGCTGGGTAGTATGAATGGGGCTACAATTCTTTTTATACTTTAAACAATAATAGGTATAAAATATATGTTGCCAACCTTGTAGTATTGCCATGTAAATTCCAACCTGCAATCCAAGGATGCTTTGGACAAAGAAATGGCACAGTTCGTGGTTTGCATATAAAAAGCCCCAAGCACAACCCCTGGTATTTCCAAGTGAAGCTGGAAATTCTCCTGTCTAAAACCCTGGAGATCTGCTGCCAGTCAGCAGAGACAGTATTGTGCTAGACCAGGGGTCTCAAACTCAACCGACCTGGGGGCCTCTGGAAGTAGAGTCTGGGTGAGGCTGGGCCGCATCAAGGATTCCACCCCCGCGGTGGTGGTGGGCCGCTCATCCCGTGGCAGCCCGGGCGCCACCGGCGCATTGAAGGCCGCAGGGCCCTGCCCCCGTGCCCCGCCCATCCTGGCCATTGGCCCACGGGCCGCGAGTTTGAGACCCCTGTGCTAGACAGACTAATCACCTGCTTATGTCCTTGCCCCAGGGTGGGTGGGAATGGACCCTTTCTAAAAGGAACCAGAGTTTTGACAGCTAGCTATCAAACTTCCATGCTTCAGTAAAAGGGGGTGACTTCCCCTTTTCTATTTCCCCAAGCACTAGAATTTCTGTAAAGGGTGGAACCAAACCAGAGTTAGATCACAATGGAACCTCTTAAAGGAAATTGCTGTAAGGAGGTGATCCTGTGGCCATCCTCTTTGCAGGAGCAAAGGTGACTTTCAGCTCTTGACAGATCAGCTCTTGACAGCTGTCAAGGAGAGACTGTTGTAGCCTCTCTGGATCAATGCCCATGGTGGGTACCTCCTATACTTTCAGAGTCCTATGCTCCCAGGGCATTGCACATGCAAGGTTTGCCAGTTTGGACTCGTACAATCCAGAGAAAATAATAAAACAGGTTTTTAAAAGTTGTGTAAATTGCTAATGCTCTAAAAATAATTAAAAGGGGTCGGTGAATCAGCAACAGCCCCTCCAAGTTGCTACTCCAGTACTTTGTCACTTGTTCTCAAATCAGAGACTGCTTTTCATGATCTCTGAAAAACTGGGGAGATGAAAAAGTGGGGAAAGGCATGGTGAGCTCAACTGGGATCAGACCATGGAGTGACAGCAAGCTGATATTGGGTATTGACCGGCATCGGTGGTGGTCCAGGCAAGCTCAGAAAGAGTGGCAAGGGGACTTTGCTGCTTTGGCAGAGCACCTCGCTCGCTGCTTCCCACGACCCACAGTGGGGTTGGTTGCCTGAATTTGGATGACATGCCAACCCACCATGCGTCCAACAACCACGGGTTGGTGAAATGGCTTGTTACCCATGAACAAACCACTTTGCAGGTTCAGTCCCTGTTTGCTTGAAATGACAATTGACCCTGGTTTGTCACCCACAATGGGTTATCATTCCACATAAAACCAGTCAGTTTAAATTATAGTTATTCTAAATTTGCATCTTTCTCTATAAATTGGCATATATAAATGTTATACAGTGTGGCATCCTTTTGTGTCCTCTTTTGGTAATGGATTCCCTCCTTCTTGGCAATTGTAAAAGAGAGTTGTGGGCTTGCATCCATGCCTATGATCTGGAATCCACCCAAGACTCAAGACCAATTTCAATGCCTTGGTTCTCTCTCCCCTCTCAGACAAAGAGAGAGGGTGTGTGTGTGTGGGGGGGGGGGGAGTCCTAGCAAAAGGGAAACAAGAATATGGAGAACCAAAGCATTTCAGCAATAGGCTTCCAAACCTCACTCTCCAAGCCAAATTCAAACTTTCCCATTCACATGGAATATGGGAACCGACCTGTGTGCCCTGAATGCAAATGCTGTTTGAGAGTCCTCCTCCTCAAATGGCTATTCAGGCCTGCTCTTTTCTGTGCCAAGGGATATTTCCAAAGCAAGTAACACACCAGGGGCGAGCCTTTGGTTTACAGCCCGCAAGCCATCACTGTGGCTACAAGACCTGCTGTTCCGCTTGTCGCACACCGAACTGGTCCCAAAGTCTCAGCTGTTGCAACCTTCCGGGGGTGTGTGCAGCTTGGACCGAGCTGCACACACACTTTGCATCAGTGCCTGCAATTAGGCCAAAGGTGAGCCCAGAGAACATGTTTCGTAAACGTGGCTTGAAAACAGCAGGGTGGTGAGGGTTGACGAGCCCGTGTTTCAAGCACTCATTAATCGAGCCAGTTAAATGATAAGCTGCTTGGGTCTGCTGTCATTCGCTGTTTCTGGGGAGATCATCTTTCCCTGGCAGGGAGCCTGTGTATCCGTTTTCGTGGGGTGATGTAAGAGACAAGCCCCCTTTGCCCTGGCTAGTGGGATGGACTGTAAACAGGGAAGAGTATTTAAGGAAAGAAGATGCTTATTGGAAACGCAGAGGTCCTAAGCAGCGCCTCCCTGCCTGAGAGCATCAGAGCAGTCCTTTCCAAATACACAGCCTGCCTCAGGAAAGTAAGTAGATAATGTGTGTGCATGTCTCCGTCTCGACAAAAGGTAGTGTGATGATCAGTTCTATGGGGTGATGTATTAATCTGAAATTTTATTTTACTGTATATATTTTAATTGTTATTGTTTTAATGTATTTTGTATTTGATGTTGTAAGCCGCCCCGAGGCCTTGGCAAGGGGCGGCATAGAAATGTTTTAATAAATAAATAAATAAATAAATAAATAAATAAATAAAATGATGTGCTTTTCTTATCCAGTGAGGAAGGGCTGGAGAAACAGAGCGAGTCAGAAGGGGTCTCCCGGGCTATCTAGTCTGACCCCCGGCTCCAGCTGGCTCTGCTCACGACATGCCCACCACGTAGGAGCCCAGTGGTCAGGTGTGCGCTTTGCATGCAAGAGGTCCCCACATCAATTCCTGACATTTCCAGAAGGGACCCTCGCCAATTGGGGTGGACAATGCTGAGCGGAATGGACCAGTGGTGTGACTCCACTGGACAAATTCACAGAGGAGAAGGCTATTAACGGCTGCTAGTCCTCATGGCTAAGTTCATCAGCCAGTATCGGGCCAGATTTAAAGAAGTTGCTGGGGAACATGGGTGGGAGTGTGTTTTTGCACTCATGTCCTGCTTGCGGCTTTCCTATTGGTACTGTGTGAACCGAATTTGTGTCACTGAAAGTGTGTTCAAGCAAGCTTTTCAACTCCATTGTAAGATGTAACAGGTGATCTTCCCCGAGCCCCAGCTTGCAGTTCATACCGCTGGCGATGTATCCAACCCCTAGCACAGTGGTCAGAGTGTTGGGCTGGGGCTCAGACATTCGAGTTCTAGTCCCCTCTTGGCCATGAAGCTCCCTGGGTGAGTTTGGGCCAGTCACAGGCTCTCTGCCTAAACTAAAGCACAGGATTCTCACAAAGATAAAGAGGAAAGACAGAGGAGGACCATGTAAGCATTGCAAGAGGGAGAAAAGGCGGGATATGAATGCGATAATGAATAAAAGATCTTCTTCCCCCTCCGCACCTGCAGGCAATAGGCCATGCCACCCCAGCTGCAGGCACAGGTGGGCATCACCGCAAAGGTTGTGCAAGGGGACCTGGAGTGTCTCGCCCCAGATGTGAAGGACTTCATTAAAAGTAGTGCTAAGCTGTGTCAGCCTGACAGCATCCACATTTGTGATGGTTCGGAAGACGAGAACAAGAAACTGTTGAATCTGATGGTAGAACAGAGCATGCTTAAGAAGCTGGGGAAGTATGAGAACTGGTAAGTGATGGGGACTTGCGTGCTAATGTAATATGAATGGGTGATACTTGGTAGACATTGTGTTGAACTTTCAATTAGCTTTAAGTCAAGGCTGTGTTAAAGTCATCAGTTTAACGCTCCAGCTGTTTTTTTTATTATAGGAAAGAAAAATGTTTTCACTTTTGCCTTTCCATGTTATTCCTGTGTAGAGCATCCAATTTTTTATAGATGTCCTGTGTCTGAATTACAGGCAGAACTGTTAAGATTTTCCCATTATCGCATGTCTTCATGGGAAGAAAATCATGTAAAAATGTCTGTGTGTCTTTTTCAGCATACAAATCAAAGCCTTTGTCAATAAAAAAGTGGCAAACAGTTCAGACATTCTTCATTATCATTCTCTGCCAGTTAGGGCATGAGCCATCTAGCTTGCCACAGGAAAATGCAGAGTCCCAGCTCTGACTTTGCAAAGACACGCTGAGGTTGGTGCTGGAGTCCTGGATTCAGTCATTTCTCCCCCTTGTCCCCAGTGCCATCTTTCTGCGCAGGCTGCAGCTCTGAAGTCGCAAATATGACTTCAGAGCCAGCACTTGGAGCGGGGGGGGGGGGCATTTCAGTGGGTGGTGAGAAGGGGACTGAGGCTTTGCTGGGGTATCAGCCCCCCTTCCTGGCAAGCAGCTATCTAAATGCTTTAGAGTTTACATGTGTGCACGCTAATTGACAGACTGTGTGTGTAGGTGCGTGCGTGTGTGTGCTTGTGGATGGGTGGTTTGGATACGTTTGAAGGACCCTGTCTCTGGAGATGCTCCTATTTGTAAAATGGGAAACATGGATGTGACAGGAGGGCATTTGACTGCAGAAAAATAGCTCTGGCTAAAAGATCAAAGGGCTGCAGCAAGAGGGAGGCACCTGTAGGAAAAAGGCCAGCTGGTCCAGGGGGATCCGGTGCAACAGAGATTTTTCAGGCTGCCTCCATTTATTTCCTGTAGGGCCCATATACATACAGCAGAACAGTGGGACAGGTTGCCTCCTACAGTTGTGGGACCCCAAGTGAAAGATCTTGGGCTGCAAGTGAAAGATTTGTGGTTCAAGACTTAGCGGGCTGGCCCCTAACTTCACCCCTTCTATCTTTGAGGATTTGATATGTTGATCTGATGTCTTCTCTTAAACTTTTTATATTATAACTTTATATTTATATAACTCTATATAACTTTATATAATTATTCTTTTTGGCACCATCCCAAACCCTTTTTTATTTTCCCAATGTTTTAAGACCTGACTGTTTTAATTGGGGTTTTATTGTTAGTTGAATTTTTAGGACACTGTGTTTTATTTTTACATTTTGTATTGTTAAGCCATCCCGGGACTTCAGTAATGGAACGGTCTAGAAAAGTTTTAAATAAATAAATATTATATAATTATATATTATAAAATGTCATGAGTCTCCAATACTCGCTAGTGGAAAGGAAACCCAGACTTGGTGTCTCTGGACCTTCTGGCCCCTTAGCAAACAGCATGGAACAGTGCTTAGATAATCCATTAGATCCAAAAAATGTTGTTGTTTGAAAATGTCAAGACTCTTCTCACATGCAGTCATGCAGATGCGTAAATGCAGCACATGGATATTGGAGGGAAAATGTTGCTGTTCAAATGCCAAATGCCTCGTCGGAAATGCTCTCTGCTCCTCAAACTCCTTACTTGGGAGTAAAACCATTTAGCTCAGCAAGACTTCACCAGGAGCAAATGGTATGCTTGCCATGTAACTAATATTCTTTTCATGACCTAGCACTCTATGTTGCTAGAAAGTCCTGGGGTAAGAAATCTTGGAATTATGTTCTTTTTTGTACCAACTTGGCTGAAGCAGAAATGTCTTTCTGGTCTCCACAGCTGGCTGGCTTGCACAGACCCAAGGGATGTGGCAAGAATCGAAAGCAAAACTGTGATTGTCTCTCCGGAGCAGCGAGACACCATCCCAATCCCCCGAAGTGGAGTAAGCCAGCTGGGACGCTGGATGTCAGAAGAAGACTTTGAGAAAGCCTTCAGCATCAGATTCCCCGGCTGCATGGAAGGTAGGCAGATAAGAAAGTATATTCAGTGTCAGAAGGAACAAGGAAAGGGAAAGGTTGCTATTTCTTATTCATGGATCAGTAAGGGCACTTTGATTCAGGTGGTGTGGATGTTGATTTCTTTGGTCCTCAGGTCATCTGTGGGTTCCTACAGCTCCACCTGCAAATCCTGTCATTCGAGTGCTTCAGGAATGAGGGTGCATCGTGCCAAGAGTTACATTCAGACATGTTGTTTTAAGGCACAGTTCCATGTTGGCCATGGCAAGCTGGGACTTAAGGCATTTTCCCCCCTAACCATGCATAGGATTGCATTATTATTGCATGTGCCAAAATTTTTTGAAGAAAGGCCAAGCCCTCAGAGACCAGCTTCTATCGTATCAATATGAAATCACAATATTTCATAAAACAAAATCACTGGCAAACATCCAAACATAGCAGCAGAAGAGACAGCATAAAATAACAATGGACAAAAAAATCAGCAATAACATAGCAGCAGAACAATAGTTTAATTCTACTAAATATGCTGCTTTCTGGCAGTTGTCAATCAAGTTTTAAATGATTTACCTTTGGTTCATTTTTTTTTTTTAAAGACCTGCTAAAGTACCAGGAGAGGGAGTTTGTTTTTCTTTTTTATCTTTTTTTTTAGAATGTTGAATCTTGTTGTGCATTTGTAGTGTTGTTGTTGTGTCCAAACCACTGCTTGTCTTTTGCAGGGTGCACCATGTATGTCATCCCATTCAGCATGGGGCCAATTGGTTCTCCGTTATCCAAGTTTGGGATACAGCTGACAGATTCTCCTTATGTGGTGGTCAGCATGAGAATTATGACTCGCATGGGAACGTCTGTCCTAGAAGCTCTTGGCAATGGGGAATTTGTGAAATGTCTCCATTCTGTCGGGTGCCCTTTGCCATTAAAAAGTAAGCAACTCTTGAGCAAAAGTATCTGTCTTTGATGTTTGGACAATGCATGTTTGGATAGTAAACAACCCTTTTTATGCCAGATGCAGCCTGCTGGAAATTTTCAGACTGTTTTCTCTCTAAACCTGCATAGGGTTGTGTCAGGTGTCTGTCTGAATAGGAAGTGTTAGCTTTATTTGGCATGGAAAAAAGGCAGGTCAGGGGAGACATGAAAATGTGTGAAGAGTAAGGGGAGAAGTATGTGTGGTTGTGAAGAAAGTGGGGAGGAATCTCTCTCTCTCCCCCTGAGTACCAGAACCTGGTGCGTTCATCCCATGCAGCTGATGGGTGGGAGATGCAGGACAGATAAGACAAAGGATTTCTTCATGCAATGTACAGTTAAACTTCATGAAGGCGAAGTCGATCAATGGCTGCTAGTCCTGGGGGCTGTTTGCAACCTCCTGTGCCGAGGTGTGCCACACACTGCCACTCCTGTGCCACTGTGCCGAGGCACACCAGATGCTGGAAAATTTGGACTGGCAGTTCTTGCATTCATGTCCCACGCATGGCATCCTGTGGGCAGCTGGTAGGCTTCTGTGAGACCAGAATACTGGACTAGATGCACCCTTGGTCTAATCCAGCAGGTTCTTCTTATGTTAGTCTGGGCTGTTTTTGTCATAAAAGGCAACAGTCCAGAAAGAGCTAATTAAAGATGCTGCAAAGTTTACTTTGGAGTATTTATGGCTAGTTTTATGCCCTCTCATTTGACTTGTGCCAGCTGCTTGGGCAAATTATGTGCAGTCTGTGTCCAGTGGTACAGTTATAAATTCTGAAGTGCAAGCAATCCCCATAGACAGCCCCCAAGGAAAAACCAAAAATGCAGGTAGCCCTGTGGCTCTGTATAAACAAACCTGTTCTAGCAGCTTTAATCTGTCCAGTAAGAGGAATTTTGTAACATTGATGGGCCTTAATTGCCCATTGAAGACCAATTCATCCCCACATATGTGGCATTTTAGCAGGAAATTGCTTGGAAAATTCATTTCCCTACTGTGATTGTGAGGACTGGAACTAGAGTTAGAGAAAACAAGGAATTCTCAGAAGGGTGGGGATATGCCAGTCTTGCATCCCTGCAAGACCTGGCTTGACTCTGCTGCTCTGGTCTCCATCACAGAGAATACGTGGGGAGCTGCATGCTTTCAAAGGGTCTGGTGCTGGTTGCACATTCGATGCGCAGACTGCAGGTCTGCATGTGTCCTGGTTCAGTGTGTGTGCGTAAGCTGTACTTTTTTCCAGGTCACCATTGCAAAAGATAATGAGTTGTGCTTTGTGTTTTGTAGAGCCTCTGGTAAATAACTGGCCGTGTAACCCAGATCTGACTCTGATTGCTCATATTCCTGATCACAGAGAGATAATTTCATTCGGAAGCGGTTACGGAGGGAACTCCCTCCTGGGGAAAAAGTGCTTTGCTCTCAGGATTGCCAGCAGGATTGCCAAAGAAGAGGGCTGGCTTGCCGAGCACATGCTGGTAGGAGCAGTACTAATAAATGCATTATTTAAGTCGTAGTCCATTTAATGCCGAGGGAATGCTCACACTGGATTTTTTAGAGTGGTTGAAAATGCAGTCCTGTAAAATAGTTTATTGGCCTTTAGCTTAGGATGCTACAAGGCATCACACACACTCAGGCACACACACAACCCAGCCAACTCCCCCTCCCCACCCAGTGTAAGAGGGAGCTTCAGGAGGGGATAGGGAGAACTGGAAAAGCAGCAGAGGATGGCGCTTAACCTCTTCCTACCTCCTCCTCCTCTACTTCTGATCATCTCCCTTCCTCCCCAGGGTTACAAATGCACATTTGCAAAACCATGCTAACTTTGACTGGGGTCAACATTTCAGCCAGTCCTTGTCTGTCATATTTGCATCTTTGTGACTCGCTATAAGCTATAAGCAAGGAGGAGAGAAAATGTGGGGGTTTTTGTTTTTGTTTTTTGACAGATCTTGGGAATCACCAATCCAGAAGGCAAAAAGAAGTACTTTGCTGCAGCTTTCCCTAGTGCATGTGGAAAAACCAATTTGGCCATGATGAAGCCAACTCTCCCAGGCTGGAAAATTGAGTGTGTTGGAGATGATATCGCTTGGATGAAATTTGATGATCAAGGTAACCTCTTTAGCATTCAGCTGGGAATTTAGCCAGGGATGTTGGTGTTCCAGAGCTATTGAATGTTTGCGAGACTAAGTCAGCAGTTTAGCCAATACGAAACTGCGAGCGATGGAGACAATTGGCAAGTTCTGGGCAGTTCCCTTAATTAGTTGCTGTTGAAGTCAATCTGGCTTCACTATTGTGGGTCATTCCTGTAATTTTTGCAGTTTTTGATTTCATGAACTTGTTCATGCAACCTTGCCAAACTTCCAAAAGTGAATTAACAAACATGGATTTATCATAATTTGGAGCCTTTTTAGAACAATCACATACCTGGTTCCTCAGCTCAAGATGACTTCCCTGGATCCAAAATAAACTGAAATTCCTTGCTGTTAGTGCTCTATGGGAGAAGGTTCTCTTGCTGCTAAAGCCTGGTAGCATTGCAGCTTGTTCCTCTTTGTTTCTAAGGCAGACGTCATGCATGCTCTTTAAATTGAGTTTTCCAATTCTCTCTCCCACTTTGGTGGAGCATGAGTTTAAAATCCTATTCTATAAGCTTTTCAGACTGGGTGATGGCCATGCAAGAAGGCAGGTTTATGGCTGCATTTTACTCTCCCCATACTTTTTCTGGCACCTGCCTTTGATATGACTAGATGCTAACTGAAGTGCAATTTTAGGCTTGCATCCATCACTTTTTCCACAGACTGGTAAACATTTGGGAATGGAGTGTTCTTGCATTTAAAAACCCACCAACGAAATGTGGGGAGCAGAGATTCTATACTGGTTTCAGGTGGAATTGACGTGATTAAATCATTTTATTCCTGGTATTTCTGAACCATTCTGCATCCAAACAGATTCAGGACTGGTGAACAGAATGAAGTCGGGGAAAACCTTGTCAGTTTTCACCCTGGCTTTGGAAACGTCACCCACCAGTTTACCCATCTTCTCATTTTTACCTGCCACCTTTTCTACTGCTGCTCCAAGCAGATGCCCTTTTGTTCTCTGTGTATTTCCACCCACAAAGTAATACTTTAATTTTAGGGGAAAATGACAAGGCTTTCTTGAAATTTTGTAAATTTCTCTGGAGAGAGAAGGGGAGCAAAGGAAATGAAAGAAAGTCTGGTCACACTTGGAGCTTAGCGGATGGGAGAATATCTTCACTTGCATGCACAGGTGTGTGCAGCTGGTTAAAACTTCTCTACATGAAGCATCTTTTATGCCTCTGTGAAGTGTGTGGAGCCTTTTCATGACAACATTAATCTCCCGGGGCACTTCTGTGTTCTCCAGTCATTTTTGCAGACTTTTTAGAGACAGGAAAGTCAGCTATTAAATTCCAAACTGGAGCAAAAGCCTTATGAAAAGTCACGAGTCCACTACATCGCAGCTTTACCACAACGCCATCTTGTGGTTGATTAGTAGAATATAGAGAGGTAGAGAAATACAAACCCGAGGAGAAAACCCCCAGGTAAAGGACATGTTTTTCCTGAAGCCGTTACAGGGGGCACAGCACACCTCATGAGCACATGGCATATTCAGCCACTGAAGTAATGAAAGACTTCTGCATATTTATTAAAGCATGTGTGATTTTAACTGAATGGGAGCTATTAGCACCTTGGAGTTAGGGGTGCAAAAACTACTTATGGGTGAAAGAGTGGGCTAAAGGGATACTATATGAGGGGTGTGGAAAAATGCATTTTAAACAGTCTGTTGCTGTGTGTGTGGAAGCAGGGGTGAAGACACTGCAATAGAGGACCACTTATACATTCCGTCCAGGACACAGAGGATGGGCTGGATTCAAGATCTGATTTTACAAGAGAAGGGACCTTCCTTAAAAGGAAGGACTGTGGTCACAGAAGGTCCCTCTGCCTATTTGGGGGGATTTTCTGCTTCCTCACCCCACCTCCACATTACAAATTATTCTTCATCAGGGTCTCCTAACTCAATCGGTAGCATTTGCTGAGGGGCGGGGGGACAGGGCTGCCATAGGGAGGAAGGCCAGGGAGTTCTATGTTCAGCAGTGCAATTGATTGATCCTGAGTCTGCATCCAATGTGATATCTGAGACTCACATCACTTCTGCCATCTCCCAGGGTACTTAAGAGCGATCAATCCGGAGAATGGCTTTTTTGGGGTTGCTCCCGGAACATCGCTGAAAACAAACCCCAATGCTATGAGGACCATACAGAAGAATACCATCTTCACCAATGTAGGACAAACCAGTGATGGAGGCATATATTGGGAAGGTATTGATAAGCAACTTGAACCTGGAGTGACGCTCATGTCATGGAAAAACAAGGAATGGACTAGCAAGACAGGTATGAATACAGGCAGTGAATGCCCACTGTCTCTCTTCTCTTTATCCTCGTTTTGGCGTTGGTGAATTGTGCAATGGTGCAATTCATATCTGATGTTATATTTGCACAGGAGAACCTTGTGCTCACCCCAATTCCCGGTTCTGTACTCCTGCCACTCAATGCCCCATCCTTGATCCTGCGTGGGACTCTCCGGAAGGAGTTCCAATTGAGGGGATAATATTTGGAGGACGGAGACCTGAAGGTAAGACATTTTGAAGAGTGAAATCTGTACCTAGCAAGCAAAACTCAGTTCAGGGTATGAGATTTAGGGCTTCTGTACTCATTTGCTCTGTTAGAAAACACAACTATCTCCTTTGATGTAATCCTGGAAAAAGAAACTATCAGACCAAAAAATGGTTTGTACATTTTAATTTTCCCCTGGAAAATGAACTCTTATATTTGAAGTGATGGGAATCAGCTTGGAAATAAAATATCACCTAGAATACTGTGTCCAGTTCTGGGCACCAAGATTTAAGAAAGATGCAGAAAAACTAGAAAGGGCCCAGAGGAGGGCAACAAAAATAATCCAGAGTTTGGAAATATTGCCATATGAGGAGACACTGAGAGAACTGAGCATGTTCAGCCTTGAGAAGAAAAGACTGAAGGGGGATGTGATATCGCTTTGTAAGTACCTCAAAGACTGTCACCAAGAGGATCAACAAGATCATACTAGAGTGTGGGACACAGAACAATCAGTTGTGACAACCCAGATTCAGACTAGATATCAGGAAAAGTTTCCCCACTGTCCAAGTAATACGACAGTGGAACCAGTTGCCTAGAGAGGTGGTGGGCTCTCCCACACTGGAGACATTCAAAAAGAAACCGGACAGCCATGGTTTCTTGTTAGGACGTGGTATTTGGCTTGCATAAGACATGGCTTATTGTGATGTCTGAACCCAAGTCCATGGCTTATTGCCGGCTTGTTTACAATGCTGCCCACCCTGAAACAGTCATCCAGTTGAAGCAGCCTGAAACTACTCTGAAGGCTGGCGAAATGGGCAGATGAAAAATAAGCCAGTAAAAAGGAACACACAGCATGCTAATCTGAAAGCCAATTAATGGCCAACACAAAGAACCATGATTGACATAAACAGTAGATTAGCATTATATGTGAATGCAGCCACTGCCCTTTCCAGCCATCTGGGAGCAACGGAAGTGGCATGGACTTGCCAGTGTCATCCATTGGACCCTCTTTTCCTTCTGGTTCCTGCTCAGCTGCAGCTTTAAAGAGTCTGTTAGCATTACTAATGTAAATCTTCCCTTGCTCCTTCTGCCTTAAGATAGGGTAACCTCTTTATTGAACAGTTTACAGTCTGCGAGTAGATTAGATAAACTACAAGAAGGAAGGGGATGCCATAAGTCTGTGTTTAGGAATGCTGCTTATTCATCCGCTGCTGCAGTGTTTTAAGCTGAACATTCAATTCCGTGCAGCATGGCATCAACCTTTCAGTGTTACGGCTGTCTCCTCCAGGTGTGCCGCTAGTCTATGAGGCCCTTAACTGGCAGCATGGTGTATTCATAGGCGCAGCCATGAGATCAGAAGCAACAGCGGCTGCTGAGCATAAAGGTAAGTCGAACCAAGATGATACTTTTTCATTAGAACAGCCCAGCTCATTATTTTCAGCTGGAAATTGCTGAGAGTCGCAGAATCTATCTTTCTTTCTTTCTTTCTTTCTTTCTTTCTTTCTTTCTTTCTTTCTTTCGGCACTATAGCAATTACAGTAGCAAGTAAATATGGCTTGTGAAAAGCCGCATAATCCAGAGGACTAGAAAGGGCCCCAGTTCATTAACTCAGATTGACACAGTAGCAACTGGACCTTTGTCACCTCATATGCAAAGGAGGAATTTGGAGGGAGAAGCAGCTATTGTAACTAGTCTTATTAATTGGCATTCATTTATTTAATATATTTATATCCCACTCCTTTTCCTCTTGGAAGGAATCCAAAGTGGCTTACATACTCTTCCCCTCCATTTTTATCTTCACAACAACCCTGTGAGGAAGGTTAGGCTGAAGTTATGCTGAGAACCTGTGACTGGCCCAGAGTCACCCAGTGAGCTTCACAGTTGAGTGGGGACTAGAACCTGCTCCTCCCAAATCTCAGTCCTGTCCTCTCACAACAACCCTGTGAGGGAGTGAGTGACTGCCCAAGGTTACCCAGGGAGCTTCATGGCCATGTGAAGACTAGATCCTGCGCCTCCTGACTCCCAGGCAGACCTCTGTTACATCAAGTGGGCTCTTGAATGATCAGCAGGGCTTTGTGCCAGTGGGGACTGTTGGGGGTGTTGGTCATTAGAAACTTTTTTTCTGAAGCCCATGGGGAAAATACTGGTGGTGGTCAGGACAGGTGCAGTGGTGTGTGGTGGCGCTAATTCAAATCAGGGCCATGCGTCTTTACATGAGAGTAAATAAGGACACGATCTTATATATGTTGGGACCAGAAAAAAATCCTACACCTTCCAAGAGGCTGGGAGTTGTAAGACGTTCTCCCATCTAAACATGCACAGGATTGTAGCTTAAAAAGCTAGCCTTCAGCTACATGCTCTGCATTAGCTTCTGTTCAAGGGATTTTTGCAGGCCTTTGTAAAGCTTCAATTAACCGGGAAGAGTAGGTCAAACGAAATGAGCATGTACCCCAGGAGGCAATAATTTATGCATCACACCACCTTCAAAACTCTTGAAATTTTCCTATCCGTCTTGAGTCTTTTCCCCACTCAGAACATTTATGCTAACCTCGGGCCTGTTCGTGTTGAACACATTGCTCTCTTTTGCTAAATCTTTCTAGCTCTGATCATTTGACAATCCTAGAATCCGCCTCGAACTTTGTCACCCCCACTAATGATGTGGGGCGCACTCCTGAGCATGCTGCATCCAGTTCATGCGGGGAGTACCTGGCGAAACACGTGGACCTTTGCTCTGGTTGGCTTATGCGAGCTGCCAGCATGTGGCAGAGGCTGGCAACACCTGTGTCAGTGGGGCGCCTCTTCCATGGCATTCAGCACCATGGCCAGCTCCAGGAAAGCTGAAAAGAAAGGCTGCAGTGGGTGAGGAGCCCCTCTGAAAGCAGGCTTGGACAAGCACTGAGACAGCACGGGGGCGGGGAGGGGGAAGCAGGATGCAGGGCCCCCAGAACTGCTTGTGGTTTAAGTGCAGCCTCTTGGAGCTTAGACACCCAGAGTGTTGGCACAGTCCTGAATAAGCTAAGGATGATCAAGACCCAGTGAAAGCACTGAAAGCTAAGCATTTGCTTAGCTACCTTTCCTTCTTATTAGTTTCAACTGAGGCCACTGCACCCCTTTAACAACAGACTTGGGGCCACCTTAGGCCTTTGCCCATGGCTTTCCTCCCCTTGTGAACCGGGGGCACAGGACTGCCCATTCCTGGCAAGACCCTGGTGGGGGCAAAGCATTAACCTCCCCCTGCCATGTTCCTGATCCAGCCTGAAGTGCGTGCGTGTGTACGCACACGTGTGTGTGGTAGCTACTGGTTAAAGAAAAGGAGCAATGCAGAACCAAGCCAAGCCATGCAACATATTTTACTCCTCATTCAGTCCTCAGCAGTGCAGCAAGCTCAGCAAAGAAGGGCAAGAGTTGTTCCTTACATTTCCCATAGGATCCCACGAGCAGGACAGGAGTGCCACCGCACGGGCACAGGTGTGCAGCCTGTGACCTGAAGCTGGCATGTAGACATCAGGACTAGCTTTTAAGCAACACCCGGGAGCACGGCTGTAGAATAATCGAAAGGCTGACAGGCGGAAAGCATCCCGCAGGGCCCTGTGAGGAGATGTCCTAACAGAAGAGGAACAGTATGTAGAAGTAAATGCTGCTGTTGGCATAACAAGAGGTAGAACAGAATACATTCGTGGAGGGAGATTCCATAGGTATTTATTTATTTACTTACTTACTAGATGTTTATGCTGCTTACCAGAGTGGACTAAAGCATCATTAAAGTGGTTTCTCTGTAATATTTCTACTTGTAACTTGACCGCTGTGGAACCTGGCATCAAGAGCAGATATTTAGACCTCATCCTCTGACATGGCACTGTCCGTATGCTCTTGGTGTCGGTGACTATCTTATGCTGTTGTCATTATATTCGTTCTGCAGGCAAGATAATCATGCACGACCCCTTTGCCATGAGACCGTTCTTCGGCTACAACTTCGGCCACTATCTCTCCCACTGGCTCAGCATGGCCCATCGACCTGCGGCGAAGCTGCCAAAGATCTTCCATGTCAACTGGTTCCGGAAAGATGCGCAGGGAAGATTCCTCTGGCCCGGCTTTGGCGAGAACTGCCGCGTGCTGGAATGGATGTTCAACCGCATCGAGGGAGAGGACTCCGCACGACTAACAGCCATTGGCTACGTCCCCAGTCACCTGGGCTTGAACCTGAAAGGCCTGGAAGGGGTCGATATAGAGGAACTGTGTGACGTTCCCAAAGATTTCTGGGAAAAGGAGGTGAAAGAGATCAAGAAGTATTTCGAAGAGCAAGTGAACGCCGACCTCCCCTATGAGATGGAAAGGGAGCTTCTTGCGCTGGAGCAGAGAATAAAGCAGCTTTGACTGGCATTTTAGTGACACTGCATGTGATGGGGAGAGGGGAAGCGTGAATGAAACACACTCTTTAATGACACCATGTGGGGAAACACAAAAATGCAAGGGCAGGCAGAGAGTTTTGCCCAGAGCTGTTCCTTCTAAAGGCTGATCTGAAGAAGCAGGTCTCAGGCTTATCGGATATCACTTGATAGGTTACAGAAGTTCAATAAATAGTTCTCCATATCCACTCCATTCACTCAAATGGCAAGGAAGCTATTGCAGGGTAGCTGCAATTCTCATGTAATATTGCTACTGATTCCTGGTACATTTTCCCCCTCCCTCCCTTCCTTCCCTGTCTGATGGAATTCTCTCGAGGAAAATGGGAATTGCACGGCTAGTGACATGAGGAGAGGCATAATGAACTAATACCTGCCATGTTTCTTTATAATTTACCATCTTTGTAGGCAGCGTTTCCATAAAATTAGCATCGTCAACATACTATTGGGAGGTTGGGGCATGTCATATGCTTGCCCCTCTTAACATGCCCCCAAAGAGTTTCAGGTGATCCCACTCTCCGTAATTCAGAACATCTGGATATTTTTGCAAATGATTCGAGTACTACAAATCTAGGCTTTGTAGGCTTTTGTTTTCTCACAGCAACAGCTGAGCAAAGCTGGAAATGGCTTTTTAGAATCAAAAAATTTGAAAGACTGACTCCATCTTGCCATCTGTGCCATTGATGCAGAAGTCAGTGGTATTTTGTAGGGTTCTTGTATATCTTGCGATTCGGTGCTGTATGAAAGGTTCATGTTCGACTCCAAAATAATAAAATAAGCTTTTATACATAGGATGTTTTGTGTCCAGTGGTAATGAAGTTTATAGTTGGGATGCTTGATCCTATGCGTGCTTACAGATGTACCCCCCTCCCCCGCTTAGATTTAATAGATCACAATTGTGCAAATGTGTTCATAGCTTTTAAAGAAATTACAGGGGGTGGCGGGGTCAGTATTCCTCAAATGCACACTTGTGGATGTCTGATAGGTGTGAATTTGTCCGGCCAAATTCCATGTATGTTTCAGCTGCTAAGGGAACAGGGAGGTAGACAGAGAACATACAGGGACTCTGACAAGGAGAAGCTGCATGTAGCTAGTTAGCACACTGTTAACAGGGATGTGGGGAGAGGGGTAGTACTAAGGGAAAGGAATACCCATTTATGCCATGGAAAAGAACCCAAAATGGGGGAAACAGTGTGCCAAAAACGTAGTTATCCCTATAAATGCCCAGTTGGACACTTCCTGCCTAAGCAATGTCTCTGAGCACAAGAAGGATGCTGTGGTCACCAGGAGCCCCCTGGGTGGTGGGGTCCTGGCATACCCGTCCCAGGCAAGGTGCTGGCACTGGGGATGTTTGCTGCTGCTTTTATCACCTGCTTCTCCTTACTTAGATATTCTGAACTTCCGAGCCCCAGACTTTGCCCTCAGGGCCAGGCTGTAGGTGCTTCACTGGAGAGCTGAATGAAGTACAGGGGTGGCAATTAGAATATGAGCATCCTCTTACAGGCGATAACACTTAACACTTCCCGGCTAGGTGAGATAATACTATCATGAACTTTATGATGCATGCCATTTGCAATCACTGAGGCCTTCCCATTATAACTTGTGAGTCAGAGTGGTGTGGTGGTTGCGATTGCAGGCCTGGGACTCAGGAGATCTGGGGTCTGGTCCCCACGCAGCCATGGAGCTCACTGGGCGACTTCGGGTCAGTCGCAGACTCTCAGCCCAGCCTACCTCACAGGGTTGTTGTTGTGAGGGTAAGATTATGAGGAGGAGAATGAAAGGAAACCAGACAGATGATAAATATAATAAATAATAAGTCTATTATTTATAATAAATAATAAATGGCTTGCAAGAGACAAAAGGTGGGGTAGAAATGTAGCAGCAGCAACATCAACAACTGTACCTACCAACCAATCCCTGGGCCAAGTATCTCACAGGTGTTATTCCAACCCTTTGAAAACATCTCCATTCTGAAAGCCTGGACATATTTGTTCAGCAAAAGAGAATTGCTTTGATTGCTCGTGTTTATGATTCTTCTTAAGAAAAAAATCAACCTGGTTGCTAGTCACCATTTGGGCTTTGGAACTTGTTAGGAGTGGTCATACGTCAACAAGTACATCTTTTAACTTGCTTTTGTTTTGGTACTAGCTGTTTCAGCGGCAGAGCTTAAACACTAAGCATCCTTCTAGGACTAAATACCTCCGTCCATTCTTCCCAACTTCACTGGGAGAGGTATGTGCTTCTAATTTGTTGCTCCTGCCAGTGCATTGCTGAAACCGAAGAAACGCATCACCAAAAAACTGGACAGAAGAACATGGAAAGTTCTGCAGCTTAGGATGTGGGGAGAGCAAAGCCATCAACAGTATCTTAGCTGCTTGTTTCCTTCCTCATTTCCTGCTAGCAGCATCATTCAGAGGGAGGGAGGAGGAGGAGGAGGAGGAGGAGGAGGAGGAGGAGGAGGAGGAGAGAGAGAGAGAGAGCGCGCGCGCGCGAGAGCGAGAGCAAGAGAGCACACACAAACTCCAACAGTTGCCTGGAATGATTGGTCATGTACTCAATGGAAAAGTAACCGAAAGAGAAAAAGCATGATCTCTGGCTGTGAAGTGTCTGAACAAATAGATAATCTTCCATGAATCACCCCGCAGATGTTTGCACTGCAAATATTCCCAGAGTATACTCAAAGCCATTCCAGTGTCACTGGCAAGGCCATTACAATTCAGAAATGACCCAAAAGTTTAATCTTAGCAGAGGGGGAAGCCTGCCTCTGCAATCCAAAGGTGGCATCCCCAGGTTTCAAACTCTGCAGATGTAGCCAGCTGTGCCCAGCTGTGACCTCATCTGTTCTTAACCCCACCTGGGGACTACTGTTAAAGAAAAAAATCAATGAGAACTAAACTGCAAATTTAGTTTCTTAAACTGATCCTAGTAGTACAACAGAGGTGTGTGTCCACAGTATGTACAACTATCCCATTCACAAATGCTGCAGAGGCTTCAAAAATCTGCAAAAGCACAACTGGTCAGGAGCAGCCAGCAGGAAAATGTATTTTTGCTCTGCTCCACATGACATACCAGGCTCATCACTAACTATTTAAACCATGCACTGCTAACCTGCCGTCTGGATTTCTGTAATGCCCTCTACATGGGGCTGCTTTGAAAACGGTCCAGACCTCAAACTAATTCAGAACAGGACAGTGTGGCTGCTAGCGAGGACTGGCCCTTGAGTCCTTCATCAGCTGCACTGGTTTACCTGTTGCAGTCGGGGCCCAGTTTGAAGTGCCGACTTTAACATATAAAGTCCCAGATGGCTTGAGGCCAGGATATCTGTGGGAACCTCTCTTCCTACGTCCCCACCTATTCATTAAGATCTTCAACAGAGGTCCTTCTCTGTGTTCTACCCATCAAAGAAGTGTGGGGGAAAGGGGGGGCTTTTCGGTGGTGGCACCTTGCTAATGTAGCATGTTCTGCAGCGAAGTGCACCCGGCGCCATCTTTGATCTCATTTAGCTGTCAGGTAAAGACCTTTTGTTCAAACAGGTGTTTAGTAACTAACTTGATTTTTTGACACTGTTTTAATATTTCTGCTGCTTCTCTTTTTAGCTGGACTTTATCCTCTTTGTACTGCCAATTTTGTATCTCATTTTTGTATCTCACATTGTTCTGTACCGTTGTACTGGTTTTATCTGGTTTTAATAAACTGTATTGGTTTCTGATGTTTTAATTGACTTGAGGTGTTATTGTAAGCTGCCCAGAGAGCCTTCAGGCTGTGAGATGACAACTAAAAGCAACAAACAAGTAAGTAAGTAAATAAATAAAGAGCTGCAGTGCATATGCAACCCTCAATGAGGTTTCGGTGAGTTATCCAAATCCAGCCACAAGGGGTTACATAGAGGTTAAATAACCCTGCCTCAGCCCCAAAAGACTGGTTCAGACAATACACCACAGCGCCTTTTGGGGGGGGCATTTATATTCTGCATTAACCAATAGTCCAGGAGGACACTCTGGGCATATTATAAGATGCCTCTAAATAGAGGACTGTCCCCCGAAAGCTCTTCAAGTAAAGACCGTCCTCTGCAAATTAGGACACCTGGCAACTCTACATGGAACAATGGGAGGAAATGAAGGCTCCCAAGATCAGGCGGAATTCTTTGCTTCTGCATACGTGGTTAAGGACCATTGCCATACCCATCGCTACTGGTGTTACTGCAACCGTGGGTTGATCTACCTATGCAATGCTCAGGAGATGCTGAAGGGGCGACATGCTCCTCAAACTCCTCAAACTGTGTTTAAACTCCGTGATAGTGGCAAGCACGGACAAAGGCTTGCCATTTGTTGAAAGCCCACTTGGGCCGAGGACTAAAGGAGACCCAAAGCAAATTCTTCAGCGTCACCACAGATGCACGATGGAGATTTGCGAAGAAGAATCCAATACTTGCAGCCATGCAAGAGACAAGCTGCTTCCCCGCAGCCCTTTGCAACTGCTGTGCGAATGCTTGTCTGTTTAGTGAATACCCTTATGGTAGCCATGTCCATATCTGCGGAACAGAGAACGTGACTCACTCAAAAGGTAGACCCAATTTGTGCAGAAGTCTGCCTAAATCCTGCATGTGGAAATTACTCCGCATAGACGCAAATCTAGAAAAAACGGCTCGAACAGAAATTCGGTCTGCTTTGTGATGGCTGAGCCCTGTGTGCCAGGAGACCTCCTCAGTCTGCCACTTGGATGTTCACAGGTCATAGGAACTCCAAGGCCTCCAAGCATCTCAGGGGCCTTCATCTTCAGACCAGATTTGGACGAGACAGTCCTTCAAATAGGGGACACCATTTGGGGGCCCTTGAAATAGAGCACTGTCCTCTGTAAAGCAGAGCAAGTGGTGACCTTATGCATGCTTCATCTTACTCTGCCCCCCTTTTAAAGGAAACATTTAAAATGCAAATACACAGCTCTTCCAGGAGCAACGGGGCAAGGAGACATCTATGCTACCACCTCCTGGCTTCTTCTGATATCTTCACCCACTTCTGAGGAGCTGCCTGCTTCTTCAGGAGACACTGGGTGATCCAGCAGCTACTGCCTCTTGACACAGAGGACAGAGGGTGGGACCCTGTGGGGTCTGCTAAAGCCATGCCTCCTGGAAGCTCCCAGGGTAGCAGAAACTAGGCAAGGAGATAGCACTCGCTTTCCTACGGAGTCCGCATCTGGGCTTGAGATCTTGTCATTATCAGTAAGAAGTTCCTTTCGGTGTTCAGCTGAAATCTACCCCTCCCGTTCTTGTAAGAGAAGTCCATTAGAGCCAGAACTCCATGCCGCCACCTCACTGGGAGCGCTCCTCTCCGCCTGGCCGGTCTCCACAGCTCTGCTAAGTGGCCTTGGAGCTGCTCCAATTTGTCTGTCATGGGCTGGAATCAGAGCGGCAGCCAGCGGGACAGGCAGGGCACTGTCGCATTAGAAGCTTATCTCCACCCCGCACAATACTCAACATCTTGCTGGAGCCCATAACAAGATTTGTATGGTGGCAGGTTGGATCCAAGAGTAATCATCCCCGAGGACAAAAGTGTGTGTGGTGTTTGATTGTGATGTTCTGCAGAGGCTGGGTGTTCCGAAGCTGTTTCTGTACCGAGGCCGTGTAGATGATCCGGAAGCAAACCACATAATGCTTTAAAGGTCACACCCAGCACTTGGCAAATGTACCGGCAAGCAGTGCTGCTGGGAGAGGATTGGTGCCA